CCTTTCCTAATAATGTGCTAATTAGCAAGTTTCACGATGAATGCGGCTAAAGTAGACAGTCCCTCAGAGAGCAGCTCAGAAGAGAGGGGCGGGGTCAGCAGAGCTCATTAACATTTAAAGGGAAATTCTACAAAAACGGCTTGCTCTGAAAAGAGCTGTGTTTGACAGAGTAAAAAAAGGTGTTTTTACACTACCATTGAGAAATTTTAACCAAACTATGTTACAGACTTTTCATTAAGACCCTAAAGAATGATATCAACTTGTGGAAAATGGGCATCCGATGACCCCTTTAATGTACTGTTTTTAATTAACCAGGGAAGTAGGATGACATTGATTAGTTTTCCTCTGTTCACCTGTGGTGACTTACCCATAAATGTGCATCTGCTCCCCATGTTCAGCCTGTCCCGTGTCTGAATGGAGTGCGTGGAGCGACTGCTCCTGTGTGTCTCAGTATCAGCAGCGCTTTCGTGCGCCGCTCATCTCGGCCAGCGGTGGGCAGCACTGCTCTGATCTCGAGAGACAGAGCCGGCCCTGTAAACCTGACAGCTGCACAGGTGATCAGAGTCTAATGCCATTTTACATAGTGTGCTACTGAGTGATTACCAGAATCAAATGACCTTTTTACACCACAAACACTACAAGGCCATGCATATAATATACAGTGCACAACATGCACACTTAAAAGTGAGATTTGCATGACACAAGAATAATTCCTCAGAGGTTTTCATGTATATTTTTATGGTAATAGCATGTTTTGTGCGAGCGGAATAAAGGATTATTTACATACGTTGAGTATTTCAGTGGTTGTGCTGTTTGTTTGTTCATTATGTAATTGATTTCACTCTTATATTGATCTGTGTGTCTGTCAGATTGTGAGAAACCCTTCCTGTTCTCTGAATGTGGGTCTCCATGTGAGAAACACTGTGATCTGTCGGGTCAAACGCACTCGTGTTCGTCCCAGAACTGCACACCCGGCTGCTTCTGTGCGGAGGTTTGTACTGCTTGCATTTCACACGAATTCACATAAAGCTTTTCAGTAACTCTTTACAACGAGCTCTCATTTGTTACTATTAGAATGATAATGTGCAATATAGATTTTTACAGCAGTATTAATCTGCGTTAACGTTAGTTAATAAAATACATTTGTTCATTGTACAGTGTTAATAATGAGAGAATTTCATAATAGTGAGAATTTCCCAAAACAGGAAAATGCAAAAAAATAAATAATTTAATAAAAATATATAAATAACAAATAAAATAAAATAGAAAATAAATATTTAAATAAAAAATAATAAATATACAAATATAATAATAATAATTATTATTATTATTGTAATTTTTATTTATTTATTTATTTTGTATTCTTTTATTTATTTATTTATTTGAAAAGTTAAATTCAGTGATTAAGATGAAGATTCCGAGTTGCTGTGTTGTGTGTTCCAGGGTCTCCTGCAGCAGAACGGATCATGTGTTCGTCCGGATCAGTGTGGCTGTGTCCATCTCCTCCATCAGGGCTCAGACAGACCTGTGGCCGTCACTGGCCCGCAGGGGGCGCTGCTGACCGTGGGCTGCAGAACATGGTGAGACACGGATGCTCTTCACACTGAGAGTGAGATCACAGTGTTATCATGATGTGCCTTTGATAACGCAAGTGTCTCAAACATCACAGCAGCATGGATTTACTCTGATTAGTGGTGTTTATTAAGTCAAATATCTCTATAACTAGAGCTTCTAGTGATGTAATCAAACCTCTAGCGCTATATGTTCAGTGTGTGTTGTTGTTTGTGCTCCAGACTTGAAAATATAATGTATTTCTGAAAATACATATTTTACATAAAATATTTATTTATTTGTTTATTTATTTATTTATTATGTAAAATATTTTATTTTTTGAAAATATTTCTGGGAAAAAAAATATATATTTAATAAGTATATATTTATATGTATACTGTAATTATTTATACAATTATTTTTAATATTAATTTATGAATGTATGTTTTAAACTAAAATTTTTATAGCAAAGGTGACACTTTACAATAAGTTTCAGTAGTCTAACACTAGGTTATGTAATAGCTAGTGCTGGTTAAAGATGGTTAAACATGTATTAGTATCTGTAAAATTCCAAGTATATATATATATATATATATTAATAGTTAAATATTTAGACAATTATTTATAAAACATTATTCATAAATTTAAAAAAAACTCCTACTATATATGTATCTACTATTATGTATTTCCTATTTTATATTTCTATATAATATAATAAATATGTAACACTGTATTAATTATTTAGGACCACAACCTAATACACATTTTTTAATATTTTATAATACAATATAAAATTAATAAATGTTTTTTATATGTAAATAAATTCATTATAAAATTCTAAAATAATAGTGTATCTCCAGTTAAATATATATATATTTATACATTTATAATGACTTCTGATAATGCTTTATTTGTGTGTGTGTTTCAGTCTTTGTCATGACGGCTCTCTGCAGTGTGATTTACGGGAATGTAAAGGTATAGCGCTTCTATTTTTACCCGTATAACCATATTTAGCCATGAGCGTCTATTGTTCCTTATTTTAGACGCAGATCAAATCATCTGAAATCTAATAACGCTTTTCTGCCTGTTCATGAATAAATCCCAGTCTCTCTGTCTCTCAGTGATGGTCAGTGAGTGGTCAGAATGGACCTCCTGCTCTCCGTGTATCCCAGCATCCTCCGACGGGAACGCTTCGGGGCTGGTGTCGCTCCAGCGGCGCTTCCGGGCCTGTCTGGACCTTGACTCCGGTCTGCCGGTCAGCGGGAGAGAGGAAGAGTGTGATGAAGAGCTGGAGGAAGAGCGAATCTGCCCGCAGTCTGACATCTGCACCGGTGGGTCGCCCGCAGACGGTTACCATAGTAACACATCATCATCAAACGCTTCCTGTATCAGACTCTCAAACGTCTGACTGTCATCAAAGCAGAAGCCAAAGGGCAGCGGATCCGGGTCGGGGGTACTGAACCGGACGACCCGCACTGATATTAAAACACTATCAACAACACATCTCAAGTACTGTAGAGATACACCGGATAGCAGGCCATCTGTCCAATGACTTAACTCGGCTTATGAATATTAATTACTTGACATGATAGATGTTTGTAATCATTAACTTAAACAAAATCCATTAAAAAAAATTTTTTGTTAATTGAAATAAAACTGAAATAAAATTAATACAAAAATTGAACAGAAATTAGAAAATTAGAGTCACCTTGGCAACTAACTGAAATAGTTTGTTGAAGCATAAAAATAAATAACTGAGAAAAAAAAAAAAAAAACTAAAACTGATCTAAAACTAAAATAAAAATAAATTAAACCTGAATAGTAATATATATATAAAAAAAAATGATAGTAATAAAAATGACAAAAGCACTTAAAAGCACATAACAGAATTACTCAAAATAATTGTTAGCTAAAATTTAAACTGTTAAAAACATTTTTTGTTAATTGTTAATATTAAGGTGAAATAAATCAAACAAGAAACTTGAAGAAACAAAAATTAGAAAATTAGAGTCGACTTGGCAGCTAACTGGGAAAAAAATTATTAAAGCACTAAAATTACTAACTGGAAATAAATAAAAATGAAAACTAAAATTGAAATGAAATTAAATGAAAATAAATTAACATGAATAGCAGTGTTCTCAAAATAAATAAAAAGAGTTTTTCAAAATAATTGTTAACTAAAACTATTAAAAACATTGTTAGTTAATTGATAAAATAGAATAAACAAAAAAAGGTTGCCTTGGCATCTAACTAAAAAGAATGTTGAAGCACTAAAATTACTAACTGGAAATAAATAAAAACTTAAACTGGACTTAAACTGAAATAAAAAATAAATAACACCTGAATAGCAATAAAAAAAAAAATAAAAAAAATATGTATATATATATATATATATTAATGACAAAATCCTGTAGCAAAATTACAAAAACTGAAAAAATACAAATAAAAGCTATCAGACTATAATAGTCTGAAATATGATATGACCGGTCCAGGAAATGTAGATTGCAGTGTCATCATGACCTGATTAATATGGTGAGAGAAGCTGAGTGTGGTGCTGTCTGTGTGTCTCTGCTCAGATGTGTGCCACTGGAGCTCATGGAGCGGCTGGAGTGTGTGTAGAGACCCCTGCAGCGGAGGATACCGGCAGAGAGAGCGCCGACCTCTGACCTCTGACCCCGGACCACACTGCAGGAACCTACAGACGCAGTCTCAGAGCTGCAACACTGGCCTCTGTCCCGGTACACACACAGACTTATTATAGACATCCTGTAAATATTATCGAAGTATAATCAGTAACTATAATTTGTAATTATTGTAACTGATTTAGTGTGCACCTGCATATAGTTCATGTGGTTTTTATATAGTGGCTGTATTTGATATAGGTGAGCATTGTGAGGACAGGGGGAGGGTCTATGATGACTCCTGCGCCAATCAGTGTCCCCGCAGCTGCGCTGACCTGTGGGATCACGTCCAGTGTCTGCAGGGCACCTGTCATCCAGGTATCAGCGCTTCTCTGACCTCTGCCACAAACATACGCATGAAACGGGAATGTGAGCGTGTTTCTGTGCCGCAGGCTGCCGCTGTCCAGACGGCCGGCTGCTGCAGGACGGAGGGTGTGTGCGGGTGGACGAGTGTCGCTGTGGGCTTCCGCTGGAGAACGGGACGCTGGAGATCCGACCCGGAGAGAACGTCACCCTCAGCTGCAACACCTGGTGAGAGGAGCTTATTTATTTATGGATCCGGTTTACCTTAAAGGACGTCCCAGATGGGAGGGTGTGTCAGATTCTGTTAATGTCTGGGGACGTTTTTCTGAAATATTGTGCTGAAGGTAAAGAAACATTAAACATTAACAGAATTGCAGAAATGCACACAAACATTTATTATTGTGATCTCATTTTTACTAGTTTGGACAAGTGTTATTTTAGTATCATTTATATACTATTATAGTTTTTATTAATATTTAAACTTTTTTTTTTTTTCCATTTAAACATTTTAGTGAGTTTTTTTATATGTCTATATTTTTATTCTTATGTCTAAAAAGGTCTATATTTGTATTCTTATTAATATTTTTTATTATTATTTCATTTTTGTACATGTACTTATATTTATATTTACATAATTACAATGTTTTTTATTTAACGTGTGTATTATTTCTGAAATATTATTACATTAAATTTTTTATTATTATTTTCTAAACATCAACAGAACTGCACAAATGCATATAAATATTTAAGACATTATTTATTATTATTATTATGATCCCATTTTTACTAGTTTGGACCAATGTTATTTGTATCATTGATATACTATTATAGATTTATCAATGTAAAGAAACATTAAACAATAACAGAATTGCACAAATGCACACAAACAGTTGGCACATTATTTGACATTTATTATTGTGATCTAATTTTTACTAGTTTGGACAAGTGTTATTTTAGTATCATTGATAAAATATTATAGTTTTTATTAATATTTTAATTTATTTTGTTTGTTTATTTTGTTTTTTTGTTTGTTTGTTTTCAGTTAAAGGTTTTAGTGAGTTTTTTTTATATGTCTACATTTTTATTCTTATGTCTAAAAAGGTCTATATTTTTATTCTTCTTCTTATTATTATTTTTATTATTATTTAATTTTTAGTTATTTTTGTACTTATAATTTATAATTACATAATTGCAATGTTTTGTATTTAATGTGTGTATTATTTCTGAAATATTATTAAATAAAAAAAATTTATATTAACTTTATTAAAAACTTTTAATATTAATATTAACTCAAACATCAGCAGAACTGCAGAGATGCATATAAATATTTAAGACATTATTTATTATTATTATTATTATCCCATTTTTACTAGTTTGGACCGATGTTATTTGTATCATTGATATACTATTACAGATTTTATTAATATTTTGACTTTTTTGACTTTAACATTTTTTGTTTTCATCTCAAATGTTTGTGGTTTAGTTATGTGTTTTTGTCTTTTGTTTTTAAAATATGTCTATTTAGTACTTATTCATTTTTATTTCAGTATTAGTTATTTTTGTACTTCAAGAATTATAAAAGAAAATGAGAAATGATGCCTTGACAACTAACTGTAATGTTATTTATTTATTAAGTTATTTGTTTATTTATACATTTTTAGTTTTAGTTACCAGTAATAACCTTAGTGTGGCCCTCAGAATGTTCTCACAAGTCAGATTTTAGCAGGTTTTACTGCATTTGTGAGGATGTTTTTGTAAAAAGTGTGGCTCTAGCAAGTACTTGCATATCTACATGAATACATATACACACAAACATCACATTTGACACAAACCTCTGTCTTTGCAGTGTGTGTGTAAATGGCTCTCTGGTGTGTACGGATCACGTGTGTCCGGTCTACGGTCCGTGGGGATCGTGGGGTGAGTGTTCGGTGTCGTGTGGGACAGAGGGACAGAGGACACGCAGACGGTCCTGCAAACACACGACCGGAGGACCGACCTGCGCCGACTCCATCCAGAGTGAAAGCTGCTCACTGCTGCCCTGTCCAGGTCAGCCAACAGAACAGGGCAGCGTTAATCTACACATTTAAATTCAAATATGTAAATTAATACATATTTTAATTCAAATTTTAGTTTATATATAGCTACTATTTGATATTTTATAGAAATATGAAAATATGTTAACAAATATTTTTTTAAAAACTAGATTTTGGCACCTATTTTAAGTCACAAAACATGCCAAATTAATTTGCATAAAAATAATAATAAAAATATTTAAAAACACTACATGCAAATTACAAAATATTTTACACAAAATATATACAAAAATGTAATAAAAAAATTGTATATGTATATACACACACACAATATATATATATTCTTACAATTTGATATTTTATAGAAATATAAAAATATTTTAACAGATATGAAAAACATGTTGTCACATATTTCATATCACAATACATGCAAAGTTCATTTGCATAACAACTTTTTACATAGATTTTAACATTTTGGTAATTTGTTTATAAATAATTATATAAAAAGTTACATTCACAGTTTTTCAATTTGTTTTTTTCTCTATAATGGGAAAATATAAGTAGCTTTATTGAATAAATAGCTTGATATTTTACTTTTTATGTTATTTATTTATTTATTTATTTATTTTTACATTTTTGGTAATTGTTATTTTCTGTTTATCAAATTAACAGCAACAGATTAATTTTTCAATAACAACAACAAAAAAGTTTTTGTGGAAACCAATTAGTTTGGGTTTTTTGGAAGTGTTTTCTTTATTTTTGTAAATTTATTAAAAAAGTCTCTTTTTTTTATATAATTTTACAAAAATAAAGAAAACACTTCCAAAAAACCCAAACAAATTGGTTTCCACAAAACCAATTACCAAAATAACCAATATTCTGAATATGTATATTCAGAATATTCATTTGTGCTTGACATGTATTTTAATGGACTTGTATCTTGTAAAGTGTAGATTATATAGGCCGATATGATTTTGTCGATCTGTTAGCCGGCTGTGTGGTGAGCGAGTGGTCAGCCTGGACTGACTGCAGCGCCTCCTGTGGTGGAGGAGTGTCACTGCGCAGGAAGACGGTCCTACAGGAGCCAGAGCCTGGGGGTCTGAGCTGCCCCGGACCCCTGGAACAACACACCGCATGCAACACCAACAGCTGCCTGCCCGGTACAGCTAACACATCCATAAACACACAAAACCAGCTGAAGTACAGGCCTGACAGATAAACACAAACTCAAACACACTTCAGTGAAGGAGAAACACTTATGATGTGTTATAGTGCACCTATAAAACCCTTCAAACGGTCATATAATACCTGTAAAGAGTCTGTCATTTCAGTTTATATTGTCATAAAACATGACAGCACATGTTCATAACTCAGGCAAAAGTATGTGTTGCTATACAAAGAAAATCACAAGGAAAATAAGAAATTATATTTGGCATTAAAGTCCCCATGAAATCAAAATTAAAGTTTTCTGGGTGTTAGTATCAGTATGTTAGTCTTAAGGTTATCTATAAGCCAGTGTGTTCCAAAACAGTGACAAAATTCGCATTTAGAAGATATAAGCATTCAAAGCTTATTTTATAGCAATGTGGATGAGATTGTGGCTGGCATACCCTGCGGCTTTACGGAGCTCAACGGCTCTGAACGGCTCTAGCCCAAGCTGTGATATAAACGAACGCTATTGGCTATTTTAAAAAGGGGCGGGGCTACTCGATATGTCCCGCCCTGTCTTCCTGTTTCAGTTAAAATGACGTCAACACATAGAGTAACGCTGCGCATTTCAGGGGACCTTTAAGCTTATTTTTAGGACTATTCAGATTTATTTATTGATATATTGATTGTGACATTTTCATTCAAATTAATAATATTTACTTTACAAATTCATATTGCTGGGATGCAAATAAATGCTTTTTTCATTCTGCTTAAAAAATCATCATTTCAGGACATTAATTTAATTTGCATTATGCATACTATTATGCATATAATTTACAAATGACATAGTCATTGTTTGCAGTTTAATTGTTTATGAAATGAGGGGTAAATGTGCTTAATTGTCATTTAAATAACGACACAATGTAAAAAGTAAAAATGTACAAAAATACACACACACATATATATATATATTTATGGTTTAATGATGTTTAGCTGAATATAAGCAGGTGTGTGTGTGTGTGTGTGTGTGTTTTCTAACACAAACACGCACAGACAAGCTCTTACAGAAAATATTTACCTTCCATTTAGCTACATTACAGTTTCAGCAATTTACTGGTCCTCTTGTGTGCAATTTTATGCTAATTTCAGTTCGAGACAAGCATACACAAAATATTAAAAGTGGCACTGATTTGCATCATTGTTTGCAGTTTAATTGTTTATGAAATGAGGGGTAAATGTGCTTAATTGTCATTTAAATAACGACACAATGTAAAAAGTAAAAATGTACAAAAATACACACACACATATATATATATATTTATGGTTTAATGATGTTTAGCTGAATATAAGCAGGTGTGTGTGTGTGTGTGTGTGTTTTCTAACACAAACACGCACAGACAAGCTCTTACAGAAAATATTACCTTCCATTTAGCTACATTACAGTTTCAGCAATTTACTGGTCCTCTTGTGTGCAATTTTATGCTAATTTCAGTTCGAGACAAGCATACACAAAATATTAAAAGTGGCACTGATTTGCATTAAAGCATCTGAGAATGTGGAGAAGAATCTGTTAGGAGTTCAACTGAATCATGCGGCGTGTGACGGCCATGCAGACTGTTCATTAATTGTGTTTTAGATGATAAGACAGAATAAAGTTTGAGTTGATAGACTCATTTAAAACAGTGCGATAAGCCTTCAGGAGGAATGAAGTGTGTCTTAAACAGATTCCCCTCCAGAGTCGTTTAAGCAGCTTGACTCATTTGATTACTACTGTTAATGAACTTCAGCAGCCAGTCACTGAAAGGGCCTGCAGTGGCTCCATCAGACCGGCACCAACAAATCATGCGTGTTTAAACTACTGTAGTTCAGCCACAAATAATAATCTGTCATCTGTGTAAATGGAATGCTAATCGGGATGCTGTGTGTAACGGTGGTTTGGTTTTCTCTGTGTCAGATTGTCCTGCTGGTCAGGTGTTCAGCTCTTGTGCAGGATCCTGTCCGTACAGTTGTGAGGATCTGTGGCCCCAAAATCAGTGTGTGCCGCTGACCTGCAGTCCTGGGTGCAGCTGCCCGCCTGGAGCCGTGAGTCAATCTGTTTGTGTTACCCCACATAACACCCTAGAAACCGCCTAGCAACACCCTAGTAACCACACACAACACCCTAGAAATTGCCTAGCAGCACCCTAGAAACTGCACAGAATACACTCGAAATTGCCTAGTAAAACACTAGAAATCCCACACAACACCCTAGAAGCTGCCTAGCAATACCCTAGAAACCACATAGCAACACTCTAGAAACCACGCACAACACCCTAGAAAACTGCCTTGCAACACTCTAGAAACCACACAGAACAGCCTAGAAACCACCTAGCAACACTCTAGAAACTGCCTTGCAACACCCTTGAAACCAGATAGTAGCATGCTAAAAATATTCTGAACACCCTAGCAACATCATAACAATATCCTAGCAGCTTCCTAAAACACCCTAGAAACACTATGGAATCACCATAGCAACACTATGGAATCACCCTAGCAACCCTATAACAATGTCGTAAAAACTTCCTAGAAAACTTCCATAGCAACTCTATAGCAACACCCTAGCAACCCCATTGCAACGTTTTAGCAAATTCTCAGAAGACCCTAGCAACCCCATAGCGACGTTCTAGCACAAACCTCCTTAGTAACGTCATAGCAGCGTCCTTAAACACCCTAGCAACGTCCTTGCAGATTCCCACAACACCCAAGCAATCCCATAGCAACGTTCTCACCTAGACCTGCCTAGCAACTCTACAGCAGCACCCTGGCAGCTTCCTAGAACACCCTAGCAACCCCATAGCAACGTCCTTGCAAATTTCCAGAAGACCCTAACAACCACATTCCAACGTCCTCTCCTAAACCTCCATAGCAACACCCTGGCAACCACCACAGCTCCCTAGCAACACGGTAGCATCTGCACAGGCAAACACAGCCCATTGTCTTCTGAAAACATATAAATCTAGTTTGTGTGTTATTCCAGACTGCAGTAAACAGTGTGATTTGAGGAGTGTACCATGTTCATTTCTGCTCCTGATGGCTCTGTATTTTTGGAAGTGTAATTTGGACACAGATGGCTGTACGAGTCCCACATGAATATGAGGACGTTATTAATCACATCATCCATCTGCAGGTGATGCTGAACGGAAGCTGTGTTCCTCAATCCCAGTGTCCTTGTTCTGTGGTCTCGCTCCCGCTGACGTCCCAAAACCTCACCCTGGACCTCCAGGAACAGGAAGTTCCTGCAGGAACCGTCATTCCAGACTCCTGCAACTCATGGTACTTCACATTCATTCTGTGCACGGTTTGTGTTTCATGTGTAAATGATCTCTAACAGAAAGAGCTGCTGTGGTTATTGGATTGATATTCAGTGACACAAGGATCTCAATCAGGCTTTTCTAAGAGCGTCTCAGTGTAGTGAAGTCAAATCCACATCCTCTCTTTGGACATAAAATATCGGCAAGATGTTCAGAAAGTCACTCTGACATTGTTGAAAGAATCAGATGCTCTGGATGGAACAACTGACAATATAAAATACAAGAATAACCATTCATAATTAGACATTTTGAAGTAAAGTGCATGAATTACATGAAAATATGTGCATATTTGATTCATATACATGCTCATAAATCAAAATAAAAAAATAAACTGTATTTTTCCATAAGAAAATTAAGCCTATTTTGAAACATTTTTATAATAAATAACTTATCATTAACAAAATGCACCTGTACATTTGATTTATTTACCATGATTCACAATACTGATTCTCATTACTGTAAGGTAATACTGTAAGGCTTATTTATTTATTTGTTTGTTTGTTTAATATTTATTCATGCTAAATATATTTATGTATTTGTATAGTTTATGCTGAATATATTTTAAAAACTTTGGGGGTGGATGTTTTTGTCTTGGAAAACATTTCTGAGAAAGCTGTAACATCAAGCATGGAAAGATTAATAAGTGTTTATGTTTAATTACAGTGTCTGTGAAGGTGGGATCTTTACCTGCACTAACGAGTCATGTGATGGTGAGTCATGTGACCTCATACACTCACAGCAGAGACACAGAGGGTCCCATAAACATTATTTTTATAGCTTCATATTCTTACTGTATGGCAACTATTGACTTGAGGGCCATTTTTAAAACATCTGAGACAAACTTCAGAATGTTCCTGAAACAACTTCTGAGCAATGAACTCTTACCTGTGTTTATGAATGGAAGTGAAAGGAGCAGAGTCTGAATGCTGTGTGTTTTCATTTAGTGGACTGTGAGTGGAGCAGCTGGTCAGCGTGGAGCTCTTGCTCAGCGTCCTGCGGATCTGGACAGCAGTTCTTCAGCCGGACGATACGGCGCCAGCGTCAGGAGGACGGGAGTGTGAGGGGCCGTCACACACTTCACGAGTCTGCAGGGGCCCCGTATGTGGTGAGAAACACAGTGCTGAGGGTTTGTGGGGTGTTCAGACCGAAAACACATTGGGGTGTAGCATTTTTGTTCAAGTTAATTTAAATATGCCAGTAGTGTATTCCTTGAAGTACTTCGAAGTGTAATTGCACTGTACGTTATTTTATTAATGTATTATTATTATTATTATTATTATTAATAATTTTTATGGTGATGATGATGATTATTATTATTATTCATTAATTGATTATTATTAGTAGTAGTAGTTGTTGTTATTTTAATATTATTTTTATTTGTTTGTTTTCATTTATTATAACAATAAAAATTATGTATATATTTTTTATTTGGCAGCATAATAATAATAATAATTTATACTTTTATACAATTATTAATTAAATAATGTTAATATTTTTATTTATTTGTTTTGATAATGTGAATGTATTTATTTGCTTAATAATAATAATAATTATTTAACTAATAATAATAATAATTTTACTTATTTGTTTTAATAATAATGATTTAATTTTTTACCTATATTATTTTATATTTATTTATTTGTTTGTTTTAATAATAATAATAATAATAATAATAATAAATTGATTTATTTATCAATTATTTTTAATAATAATAATTTTATTGATTTATTTATGCAACTGTAACTGTTCTGTTTATTTAAAAATAATAATAAAAGAAAACAGAGTTAAAAAAATAAATAAACATAGCATCTGCCCTTCCCTAAAGCCCATTGGTCATCAACTAATGTTCATACAGCGTGTCCAGAGGGTGAGCGTTGGCTCTGGAGTGAGTCCGCATCGGGGCGAGTGTGTGAGAGGGGGTGTTTGGACCTGTACAGCCCTGAACCGCTCAACTGCACGGGCCCCGGGGCCACAGAGGGCTGTGTGTGTGAGGAGGGCCGGTATCGGAGCCTGGAGGGCCGGTGTGTGATTCCAGCACTGTGTCAGTGTGAAGAGGAAGACGGGACGCTTCGGGAGGTACACGAACACACAATCACCCGTCACACTGCTGTGCTTTAGCCTGTAATTGCAGTGCTGGTTACTTTGTTTATTTATTCTAATAAGGAAGGTCATTAACGAGTCTGATGGATTAGCACTCAGGGCATTTGTAGAAAAAAGATAATTGCCATCATCAATTATGAAACAAAACGTTTAAAGGCCTTATGAGGTTGTCGAATTGAACTACAGTGGCGCTCGTTTAAGAGTTTCTGTATGAAGAGCGTTTGGTTGAATGAGATGGACGATGTAACTTCCTGTGGCTGGAAAAATGCCATCACCACAACATGGATGGATGGTATACAGTACACAATACTATATTAACAGCAGATCAATATTTACAAACTCTACATTCAAAAGAACCTGTTGTAGTATTTGATTCTTAACTTAAATATACCTATTTACTTTATTAATTCATGTTCCTGGTTTTATTATGAATGATTGACCAATGTTATTCTAAGAAATACAACAACAACAAAAAATCTAAAAATTCTAAATTCTAAAAAGAACTAAAAATATAATGAACTAATGATAACTAATATTTGTTAAAAAATTAATGTTTTTTTGCTCTTAAGTTGCTCTTGCATTTATTTGATCGATAAAACTGAAACATTATTGCAATTTAAAATAACTGTTTTCTATGTGAATATCTGTTAAAATATAATTTATTTCTGTGATCAAAGCTGAATTTTCAGCATCATTACTCCAGTCTTCAGTGTCACATGATCTTCAGAAATCATTCTAATATGCTGATTTGCTGCTCAAGAAACATTTCTGATTATTATCAATGTTGAAAACAGTTGTGCTGCACAATATTTTTGTGGAAAGTGCGATACATTTTAATTTTCAGGATTCATAGATGAACAGAAAGTTCAGAAGAACAGCATTTATTTGAAATAGAAATCTTTTGTAACATTATAAATGTCTTTACTGTCACTTTTGTTCAATTTAATGCATCCGTGCTGAATAAAAGTATTAATTAAAATGGTAATAGCAATATATATTAAATATTATACATATTATATAAATATATAAAAATATATTTGATTTTAATATATATTTTTAATCATTTTTTTAAATATATTTTAATATACAGATACACTATTGTGAATATAATGCACTATCATGATACTACTATTAATACACTAATAAATGCAAAACACAGGCACAAAATATTATCTAGAACTTATTTTAGTAGGAAGTGTCTGTCCAAGCACATTAATGTAAATATGAATGAATTGACCGTTGTGTGTTGTGTGTCACAGCCGGGGTCCGAGTGGGTGGAAGGCTGTCAGTCATGTCGCTGTATCAATGGCCAGAAACGGTGTCAATCAAACTGTCCTCCCCTTCACTGCTCTGAGGTAAGAAATGTGTCGTTTGTCTTTCATATTCGCTTTCCTTCACCTCACACACAGAAAGATTTGACATTTCTCCAGTATATTCTCCGTTAGACATCCGCTGCTGTTCGGTTTCACATGCGTCGGCCAAATAATCAATGAATAGCCTTGCATCAGTAATGAGTTCAGGACGCCGTTAGAGGACCAGATGCTGGAAATAGGCCGACCCGTTGTCCAGGCAACAGCTCCGGTCAGGGATAATGTCCCAGATGGCTCTGGAGTGACGCCTGGACGTCTCCGAAGCTTCTGCAGCGTCTCCGAGGAACCCAACATCTCCTCTGGGCTCCTGGGGATCACTGGGAGCAGATCTGTTGAAAGAAAAACTAAAAATACTCCCCCTGGTTCCTAGACGATTTGTTCTTCTTCATTCAGTCCAAATCAAATTACCCAATTTGCATTTCTGCCGCCGGCACATAAATGTCACACCTCACCGAAGGAGTGTTCCTCTTAACTCCAAACTAATCATCACTGACTGAAATAAACACAGACTGGACTTTCATAGTGTTTCATTTCTCGGATTTCACCAAACCGAATTCCAGAAATATAATAAAAAGAGTTTTCAAAGTTGCAAACAGTCACATAGTTCAGATAAATTGTGAGGTATAAAAATGCTGATGTGTTTAAACAGTGAAAACTCTCAAATCATGCAGTGCACTGGAAAGTTTCTGGAGTAACAATTGCATTCAAATGCAGGAGAGCTGCAAACAAACAACGCAAAATGCAAATAATTAATAATAATAATAATAAAAAATACTGATAACCATATAAGCATACACAACTAGTTAAAATCAAATGTTTTCCAACTTGTTGATGTCAAGGGACGTGTTAATTAAAACAAAATAAAACGTTAAATACAACTTTTTAGTGATAACTTATAAACCTTTAAAGACTTACTGTGAGCTCAGAGGTTATTAATCAATGGTGTGTGCATATAAACTTAAAATATATTTCTATAGATATAATCAACAACTTTTAAATGAATAGTTCTATATTTCTCCATCGCTCTTAATTTGATTGTTAGTTAATTCGACTGTAGTCGTTTCCCTCACTAAGCTGTCTTGTGCCTTTGTCTCTTTGTCCGATTTTTTAATTCTTTTTTGATTCAAATCAGGGTTTGTAATAGAAGTGTTATTTTCGTACCTTTGAGATAATATTGTAGTTTTTATTAATGTTTAGAATGAAGTTTTATTTTTATATTTAATTTTTAAAGTTTTTGTCATTTTTTTTGTGTGCTTTTGTCAGTTTTTTAATGTCTATATAGTTTTTTTATTATTGTTTTTTAGTCCAGTTTTAGTTATTTTAGTACATCAGGTTAACCTAAATGAAAATGAGAAATACCTTGTCAACTAGATAACATAAGTTTTATTTTTTATTTTTCTTTCTTTCTTTTATTTTTTATTATTCATTCATTCATTCGTTCGTTCGTTCTATTTTATTTCAATTAAAGTTGATTTTATTTATCAATTTTTATTGTTTTAGATTTAGTTAATTATAATTATCATTATAATTATAGTCCTGCCTCGTAGATGGATGGTCTGGTTCATTGCTTATAATTCTTAAACAAACACTTTTGAAAAATCCCTATGGGAAAAATGGAATATATATGTATATATATAGTCTCTATTAATTTATTTATAAATTTTTTTTATTAAATTTTATTTCAGTTTTAGTTTTTTTTTTTAACATTTTTATTATTTTTTATTTATTGATAATAACCCGACCTCATAGCTGGTTGGTTTGGTTCACTCTCAAACTGACTTTTTAAAAATCCCTATGGGAAAAATTTGTAGAAAATAAACTTAGTTGACAGGTACTTTTGCATGATGCATACATGTATAGATTGATACACTGTAGGTCACATTGAATAATCATATTCCAATGTAAATGTCATCTGCCCATATGCATTGTGTGTGTACACTCTAAAAAAATGCTGGGTTAAATGCAACCCAGTGTTGGGTAAAATATGGACAAACCCAGGGATTGGGTTGTTTTGTCCCAGCATTTGGGTTACTAACATTTAACCCAACCACTGGGTCAAAAGAACCCAATCGCTGGGTTTGTCCATATTTTACCCAACACTGGGTTGTATTTAACCCAGCATTTTTTAGAGTGTATATATTTGAATAACAAGCCAAACAAACCAAAACATGTCATACATTACCTGTGGATTCTCAGTTTTACTCTATATTTTCAGTGTAAACGTCTGAGCCCCTGTGGCAGTCGTATGGAGGCTGTCACAGCCTGATGCTCGTCTGTACTGTCAGCATCCGTCCATCCCACCGGCGAGCTATTCTCAGCCACCTGCACCTCTGATATGCTTTCTCTCCTGCTCTGTTTTCCAGGGTGAAGTGAAGGTGCTGGAAGCGGAGAGCTGCTGTCCCGTGTGCCGCAGAGAGTTTCCAGGTAAGAGTCACACAGTATCCCACTAATAGGGAAGAGTGAGCCTGCAGTCGTTCGCTGATGTTTGTCAGCACTTCTCATGTGCCACAGACGATTGGTGTAGTACACATCATTAAGCATACTGGAGCTTTAGGTAGTCAAACTACAGCCCGACTCCAGATCCAGCCGTGTAACTACATTCCAGAGATTGCAGGACGGTGTAAGTTCTTCTCCACTGAAAGGATCCGTTCGGGTAATTTGTGCGATATAAAAATGCTGACACGTTCCAAAACTCTCAAATCGTGCAGTGCGCTGGAAAGTTTCAGGAGTAACAACCACATTCAAATGCAGGAGCGAATCTTATAAATCAACGCTGAATGCAAATAATAAAATTCTACTAGCCATATAATCATGCATGGTTAGTTAGAGTGGAAACATAATAGGATTATCAATTTTAAAATGCAGGAAGAAATGCTTTCCAACTGGTTGAAGTCAAATAAAATAAAACTCTATGGTGCTATTCTGTCATATAGTTATGTGACTGGTAATAGAAAACATTCCTATTTTTACATTTATCCCAGTTCCTACACCTTACAATAAGGTTTTAACATTAATTAACTCTGTAAATGTTATTAAAATAATAATAATAATAATTATTATTATTATTATACTGCGAATAATATAATAATACATTAATAATAATAATAATATAATCATATATAATTTATATTATAATTATAATAATTATATTAATATAATAATATTGTACTACTACTACTACTACTACTACGAATACTGTAATAATATAAACAAAAATTTTATCTGTTAATATTATTTATTAGCTAACGCGAACTAACAATGAATTGTTGTATTTTTATTAATTAACAGTGACAGATTAATACATGCTGTAACAAATATATTGCTCATTGTTAGTTAATTTTAGTTAAATGCATTAACTAATGCTATTATATTACTGTAAAGTGTTACCATTAAAAAGTATAACAATGTTGTTTATGCATTTACAAAATTATCAGTTGTCCTATTCAAACTATACGAATCATTTTGCATGTTTGGGTTGGTAATTTTAATACATTTGGATGTTTTCATTTTTTTGTATGATAAGTGTAAATTAAAGTCAACATGAAATGCTATTTAACCCATTTTACTTCTGTAATATGATGTATTTCTGAGGGAAACTGGATATTTAGATTTTATCCATCAGGAATCAGTTGGATGGTGAAAAGTGATGAAAATGACAGGTGGTTGAAAAATAGGATGTAAGTGGTTTCTGGGATGAAGCAAGTTATTATATTTGAATGAAACATAACAAAAACAAAGATTATTCTCTCAACTGTCTTGAGTTTCTCAGAGAGCCTTCATTAAATCAAATGTGATTCTTTTGATTGTAATTCTTCTTCTGTATGTTCTTCTGTTAATTGCTGTCTCTCTCCCTTCTTCTGTCCTATTTTCTCCTGTGGACATCACTTTCTCGTCTCCAGAGGATCCGGTTGCCGAGTGCCGTCGTTACACTGAGGTCAGGAACATCACCAAGGGCGACTGTCGCCTGGACAACGTGGAGGTCAGCTTCTGCAGAGGACGCTGTTTGTCCCGGACCGATGTCATTCTGGAGGTGTGTGTCGCCGTGTCGTTCATGAACTCTGAGCTCTGATCTCTGAACTGTGAAGTTCACAGGTTATTAACGTATCTAGATTTTTATCTACTTACGAATTATTCTGCTTATAGGTTTTGGATGCATTGTGTGTTATAAATGCATCAATGTGGAAAGTCTGCCTAATACTGGTAGCGTAAAATGTTTGGTCAATAACTATACACTGTTATATTAATTACATTGTTAGATTAATACTGTTAACCATAAAACATATTATAGATCAGTGGTGTACTAAATGATATCAGGGAACATTGTATTGCATTTTTATACTTTTTTTAGATTTACAATTAATAAACGGTTATATTTTCCATTGAAATAACAATAAATAAATAAATATGATGCCTCAATTCATCTTGGATGTATCAGTCTACATATATATATATATAGAGAGAGAGTGACAAAGATATATAATAGATCGATAGATAGATAGATAGATAGGAAAAGTATTAAAAATTATGTATAAATATATATTAAAACTAAATAAATTTTACATGCTGTACAAAAAAGAGGTATCAAAATTATTTATGTATTGTCTTGTTATTTCAGTAAAAAAAGATGGATAACTTTATTACTTATAAAACTACTGTTTATATTATTTATTTTTAAATAATATTCCTTGATATCATACCATTGATGATCTAAGATAAATCCTACTATTGGTCAAGATGGATATATAATGCACCCATAATGTTTTATGATTAACAGTATTGATCTAACCTTGTATCACAGTAAATAATATAACAGTTCATCCAGATTGTTTATGACTGTGGTAAATATTTGATCAGATTCATACTATATTAACAAACGAATCCCCATCATGTCTGGTACCTTTTCATGCTGAACATAACAATCAGTCACTGATTTCTAACAGCACTAAAACGCCAAATTCAGCCTGACTTGTGTCCTTTGTTCTTGATTTAAATGTTTCATCAGTGTGAATGTTTGCTGCAACTATTTTAAAATCTGTTTGAACTGGAAACTTCTGTCAGGTTGCCATGGAAACCAGTCTGCCCAGTCGCCACGCTCTAGCTTCAACGGCAAACTCGCACCTCTCTTTTCCCTCTTTTGTCTTCACATCTGCCCTCTCCTTCTGCGTCTCCTAATGGGTTCAGAGAGAGAGCGAACACGCTCTAAATGATCCCACCATTCCGCTCCATCAAAAAGAGCAGGCCATTGGCATTTAGGCAAATGTAGCGTGAATACAATTTGGATTGTTATCCGTGGGTTTGGCTCTTTTCCTGTCCGTTCTGGCCTCTGATAACGTGTCTCTCTCTCTCTCTCTCAGGAGCCGTATCTGCAGGCGTTCTGTGACTGCTGCAGCTACAGGCTGGACCCGCAGAACCCCGTGCACTTCCTCAGCCTGCAGTGTGCCAGCGGAGACGTCGAGCCCGTCGTTCTGCCCGTCATTCACAGCTGCGAGTGCACCAGCTGCCAGGGTGGGTAATGCCAGAGGAAACGGCCTCAAACAACATTCTGTGTCTCTGACATCAGGGGATGAATCTCCTCTCTGCTTTGTTTGGAAAGATTGACGCGGTGTTAACGCATGGCAGTTTATGAGGACAAACGGCCCAAGAGAAGGGTTTGCTTTTGACGAAAACAAATGATATTAGGCAGAATATCTGTGCTTCTGTTTCCATACAAGAAAAGTGGATGGGGATTTATACTGTCAAGCTCCAAAAAGGACCAAAAACACCGTTTAAGCACCTTGAAAATGTGCATTATTTTTCAAGTGTTTGTAGCTTTTTAAAAACATTTTGTTAAACTGTTGCAATAAGAAAAAAAAAAGCAAAATATGTACACAATAATTCATATACATACATTCTTAGACTATTTACAATGCAAAATATATATTTTTATCTTCCAAAAATAAATGGATACATTGAACTACTATAAATTAAAGCAACTAATTTTATAAAATTCAATTCAACTAGTTGAGTAGATGCACTGATTACTTAAACGTTTTGCATATAAAAGTTATATAATGAACACATCATTTATTTAATAAATCAGTGCGGGGGCAATATTATTGTGAATTATTCAATTAAATGATTAATTATCTGCAAAATGAATGAGGGTTTTTTTGAAGATGAATATACTTTTAATTAAATGTATTAATTTACTTAATAAATACTCAATAATTTTGTCTATTTGTGTTTACCCATATAGCGTTCTTGAACTTTTGACATTTTTTCTAACAAATAGTAATGTTTCAGTATATACTGTACATATAAAAATTATATACACATAAAGTCATATACATACATTTTTAGACTATTTACCATATAAAATATATTTTATTTTCCAAAAATAAACAGATCAATTGAAGTACTGTAGAATAAAGCCAACTAAAATGATCAAATTCACTTCAATTTTCAGAGTAGACACACAGTGATTACTTAAACAGGCATTTAGGCTTACAAATCATTTATTTAATAAATCAGTGTGGGCATATATATACTTAGAGACACAAGTATTACTTGTATATATTATAATAATATAATATTATTTGGTAGAAAAAAGTCAGTTAAAGAAACTTTTGGTGAGAAACAGAATGAAATTTAAGCTGTTTTTCACTGATAATGCAGAAGAACAATTAAAATCAAGCCTATTCATAACAAAAAAAGCTATCGTATGACTTCAGACGACTTGCAAACTGCTTTTGTTGTGCTTTTTTCTCCAAGTATAACTTCACTGTATGAAAAACAAAAGCTCAGACATTGAGCCGAACGTCTCCTTTTTTATTTCACAGAGAAAAGAAAGAATATAATATGAGGTTGGAGCAACTTGAGGGTGTGTAGATGATTTTTGGGTGAAGTAACCATTTATGTAGTTAATATCAGCAAACTCTTCTCATTAACTTCATTGACGTTGGCGTACATGAATTATTCATGATGTTTAATGGTCATCTCTGAAGGGTCTGCAGTATTTCCATTATGTCAAAGATAAATTCATAACCAAAACATGATGTTCTCATGCTATAATGAGCAGGCTGTAATGAGACGGTGCCACCCTCATTGTAATGTACGCTGCGTTTCCTACATGCCTAATTTCATCAGGCTGCTTCTCGTCAGTGTTTAGTCATTCATCACTGCGATTGATCTCATTAGCTAATTGAATCTCTGGGACTTCACTTAGAGGGGTCGCATTTTTTATCGTACGGCATCATGGAGTCATTTCATGCAGATTGATATTTACCGATACGCTCGTGGGCTGTGTAAACAATGCTGCAAAATTTGTTCGAAAAATGAAATAACGTTTGAATAGCAAATTTTTGTGGGCTCCGAAGAGATCGTCTGTCTGACTTATGCAACTTTCAAGTCGTGACATTATGATGGGGTTTACGAGACGGGCTCAAATGAACGGCACCAGTGTGGAAACTGTGGATTTTCTTCAAGTGGAGGGTGTGCCAGTTAAAGAATCTGATATATTGATTGTAATTGAACTGCCATTGTGAATGTTGTTCAATTTAGCTTGAGTGCATTATGTATTGTTGATGAAAAGCAGCCATAAAGCTTCCTAGAACAGTCATTTAGCCACTTCATGAGGCGACAGGCTTTCGCGACCACACTATTTCCCATAATTCCCTGTGGCACCACAAGAATGATAAAATACACACAAAGCATCAATTACACACATAATGCACTTCCTTTGCTCTTTATTGTTTGGCACTAATGCTAAGAGCTTCCTGTCTTTGTTGAGAAGTGAAAAAGAGTGAAATATTAAATAGCTTGAGATGTCAGTTTTATTCCAACCAAGTCACGTCGTAATTACAATTTCCAACCAATAAGCAAGAACTTACCAGGCTGACATCTGTTTGTCATCACTGCTTGCAGTTATGTTGGTTAAATATATAATGATGCATTGCAAAAATGTTTTTCTTCCTCAGTCTTTTCATTTCTATTGTTTTCCAGTACAAATATCTAAACATTCTTAAATCAAGATCCATTTGACCCACTTGAGATGCACAATGACTTGTTTTCTAAAAAAAAAAAAAAGGATCAAAATTAACTTAAGTTCATGATTAATACAAGAAAAAAAAAAATGCCAATAAACTTTATTCTAAGGAAAAACACAAGTTAATTTTTAATTTGTCTTGTTTTAGGCATAAACCCACTTAAAGGAATAGTTCATGCAAAAATAAAAATTAGCTGAAAATTTACTCACCTTTAGGCCACACAAGATTAGGATGAGTTTGTTTCTTCATCAGATTTGGAGAAATGTAGCATTGCATCAGTGTCTCAGCAATGGATGCTCTGCAGTGAATGGGTGCCGTCAGAATGAGAGTCCAAACAGCTGATAAAAATATCACAATAATCCACAAGTAATCCACACCACTCCAGTCCATCAGTTAACATCTGGAGAAGACAAAAGCTGAAACAAATCCATCAATAAGATGTTTCAGGCTAAAATATGAGTCCATAATCCCCCCCCCAAAAAAAAAAAAAGAATCTCCTGTTGTCTCACATCAAAAACCACACACATTTTTGTTCAGAACTGTTTTGGCTTGTAAATGATGCTTGCTCTGTGCAGATTTCTCTCCTGGTTCAGACTTTTTCACTGGAGGAAGCATTATTATAGATTACAGACTCGTATTTTAGTTAAAAACGTATTGATGGAATTGTTTCAGCTTTTGTCTTCTCCAGATGTTAACTGATGGACTGGAGTGCTGTGGATTATTGTGATGTTTTATCAGCTGTTTGGACTCTTATTCTGACGGACCCATTCTCACCCATTCACTGCAGAGCATCCATTTATGAGCAAGTGATGCAATGCTACATTTCTCCAAATCTAATTAAATTGTATTACTGTACATCTCAAGTAACAAAACAAGACAAAAATAAAGAGTAAGAATCACTTTTTGCAGTGTTTCAGGGACTAAATGTTACCATGGGTGCTGACTCTGATTCAGGCCACTGAATGCATATTCAATTAATTTTTCATGTGCAGCTTATGCTCAGGGCGTACAGTGAACTTTCAGAAAGGTATGAATCAAGATTCCAGGTTAAAATACTCCCAGAGCTGCCAAATTCACCGATTTGTTCATCTGCTTTTCCCCAGGCGGAGACCTGTCGAGACGCTGAATGGCCACTGATGAATGGACAGATGCTGCGTCCTCGTATTTGTCCAGAGTTCTTCATGTAGCTTGTCATTATATGACCGAATCTTTTCTATTTCATATTTCTTAAAGCTCTACGATCTACATTCTGTACAGCCTTTAAATTATGTTATGATTTATTACTTTTTTCAGGCTTTACTGTTTGCATTTTAATGAAATGCTCTTTATTATACTAGCTCTGTTGATTATAAAGAAATTAATTATTATTATTGCCAAAGAAAATCTTCTTTCACATTTCATGACAAATTATTTCTTTAATAAATGTTTGTAGCAATTTTTTGTATCATAAAAAAGTGTCATGAACAGCTGTTTTTACTTAAGTGGATAGATTTATTAAACACACTGGTTTGATATTTAAAACTTTATTTTATATATACCTTCTTACATTAAATATTTTCGGCTATTATTTATTTCTAAATGCGCTCAATCTATTCTGTAGCCATTTTACATTTCCAAGTAAAATTTTAAATTCTAACCACCTAACAATGTATTCATTACTCATTTCAGTCATTTTATGATTTTGAATTGAAACTATTTTCTTCATCAATAATGCAATTCAAAATGATTGATAAAGTGCAATGAACTGCAGGTTTTCTCTTTGATTTTTGATGCAGCAGTTAAACTAACCTTTTCAGTATTAGTGGGTTTATTTTCTACAGTAAATCAGACACGGTTGGAAGTGTATTGAAGAAGAAGAAAAAGCACAAATGCATCCTAATTATTGCATTTCCACCTTGTGAAAGTGTGTCATGTGTGCATTCGCCTTATGACCATTTGTTGATAGTGAATGAAAGGGATGGATGGGGAGGAGGCTGGAAGATCTCACTGCTGGGATGCTTCAAAGACAGTCTGACTAAATATGGGTAAAAAGCGCCGCGCCCCCTTGTGAAGCCCATCTCGCGCACCCAAACAAATCACATGAAGATAGATTTCGCTTAGAGTGTAGAACTCCACTGTTTTGGCCTCTCGCGCTAATTGGAAAGAAGTTGCGAAATCGATGTTATTGCACTGAAAACCTCCGCGCAAACGCATAGTACTGCCGTTATGTCCACGAGGAGCGCCTTTTGTCTGCACGCGCGTGACGGCGCAGGGAAACCCCACGTCCACCGAGCGTGCATCGCCGGTGACGTATCATGTACAGTGTGACAGCGCGAGTCTCTTTGTGGAAACAAAGCGCAAAAAGCTCAACTGTCAGGTGAGTCAGGAGTCCGCGTCGCTTTCGGCGATCGCTCTTGATGCTCGTCTGGACAAGCGTGAAGTATCCCAGTTTACCTTTGATCTGCGACCCGTGATTTCTGGCCGTTTCCACTGAAGCCCAGGGCATGGCGACATCAAGGGTTCGACACCTGCGAAAAGGAGCCGAATGGCACGGATTGAAATGAACTATATGCCTATTTATGATTTCTACAATCGTTATTTATCTGTAGTTTTGCGCTTTTGAAATACCGCTATTTTTTTTTATAACTGCGTATATCGCTGTTCTGTATAATCCTATTCAGAACAGTAATTAAGTTTAGCGATATTTGTAATTAAATAGATGCAGACATCACGCTTCCCATTCAGAACAGTAGCCTAATTATTTAAGTTTAGCGATATTTATAATTAAATAGATGCAGACATCACGCTTCCCATTCAGAACAGTAGCCTAATTATTTAAGTTTAGCGATATTTATAATTAAATGGACGCAGACATCGCGCTTCCTATTCAGAACAGTAATTATTTAAGTTTAGCGATATTTGTAGCCTAGTTAAATAGACGCTCGTTGTTGTTGGTCACCATCGAAACGGGAGGAGCGCGAGACCCCAGGAGCAATACACGTCGAATCGCATCTCTTTTCTTCGAAGCGCTTTTTTTTTCACCGAATAAAAACTGAGAAGAGCGCTTTAATTGTACAAAGGAATACCCGAGAACTCAACTATGGTAAAAATTAGGGTATGTTACCTTGCGAACGCGTTCCAGTCACACCGAGTTCAGCATCCCACATGTAACGAGCTAAACTAGTCTGGCGTCACTTTACCGGACCTACCGGTTTTTGAGGAATTACGCGACGTAAACAATCCCCCATTCGCGTTTGGAAACCGGAAGCTGCTGTTTGGATAAGTGAGCGTTGAGCGCTGCTGATGAAGTTGTCGCTGTGCGGAGCCTCGCGTGCCCAGGGCGCGAAGAGAGTGGCGGGAAGGTCAGCTTGAGCTCGAGACACTCCGCTGGACTGCGCGCGGGAGGATGCCGGTTCGACGGGGGCACGTCGCGCCGCAAAACACTTTCCTCGACACAATCATCAGGAAATTTGAAAGTCAAAGTAAGTTTGTATTTATTTACAGTATTATACTTACAGAATAGCCTACTATGTTTTTTGTTTTTTTGGGGACTTGTGCCGCCATGGCTGTACCGCGCTTTTCAGGTAACGGTTTATTCCTGTCAGAAATATTATGACAGAATTCACCTGAGTGTATTAGATTACTCCAATGAAAGGAGTTTTAAAGGTCAGATCAGGTAGAAAATCACACATTAACATGACAAAAAACACGTTACTGCTCTTTACAGTGTGGTATTCTTGCAAATACCTTGGATAATACCATGGTAAAATAATATATAACACTCAGTATCATGTTATATATCGACGTAACATGGTATCACCACAGTACGTTTTTTCATGAGACTTGCTAATGTGTAAACAGGTGTATCATAGCGTCAGTGTCAAATGATAACACTGATAACAAATTGAGATTTATACATCACCTGAAAGTTGAATAAATGAGCTTTCCATTGATGTATGGTTTGTTAGGATAGGACAATATTTGACAACTATTTGAAAATCTGGAATCTGAGGGTGCAAAAAAATCAGAATATTGAGAAAATCCTCGTTAAAGTTGTCCAAATGAAGTTCTTAGCAATGTATATTACTAATCAAAAATTAAGTTTTGATATATTTACAGTAGGAAATTTACAAAATATCTTCATGGAACATGATCTTTACTTGATATCCTAATGATTTTTGGCATAAAAGAAAAATCGATAATTTTGACCCATACAGTGTATTTTTGGCTATTGCTACAAATATACCTGTGCTACTTATGACTGCTTTTGTGGTCCAGGGTCACGTATATTATGAAATATATGTATGTTATTGATCATATAGAGTCAGGACCAGAGAGTTTCTGTATCAGGCTGTACATCATCCTTTATTTAGACATGTTTGGTGCTGATCATAATATGCTGTAGTGTATAGTCCTTAAAATATATTTTTCAATTTTCATTTTATTTTCCTTGCTACTTGAATAACTTACAGATACTTCAGTTTTTCATCCATTGGTGACTTTCCTATTAATTTGTGAGTCTCATGCGATGTTATTTTAGGTCTGATGAGATAAATGCATCTAAACTGATGTAGTTTAGAGTTGAATTGAATTAGCTTGTGCTGTTACCCTTGCACGTGATTTTGAGTTCTAAAACTTTAATTAGCCTCAATTATCCTGATGCATTCGCTGGTCTAACAGGTATGGAGATTCATGCAATGAGTCTCAGATGCGAATCTTCTTACTCAAGCGTCCTCCAAAATCTAACTGGCTTTCAAAGAGCCAATCAGTCTTCATTTCCATCTTTCTCAGACCGGAATTGTTTAGTTTCCTGAAGCAGCTTGTGATGTTTTTGTGCTGGGAAATAGTGAAGGTGACATCAGTGAGTAACACTGCAAAAAATGGGCAATTTTGTAAGACTGCCTCGTGTGTTGATGTTTCAGCTCCAGGGAGGAATAATAGGATGTTTTCCCTATGGAATACCAAAGGTTTCTTCGGACCGTCTTCCATTGATTATCTCAAAAATTTAGACTGCTTAGATAATGAAGACTGTCTTTAGTTAGATGTCCTTGTCAGTAATAGTGGACTTTAAATGTCAATCCATAATTCTGAATAAGGGTGTGCGATATGACGATTTTTGATCGTGGACGATAAAAAATCTCCACGATCTGCTTTTGAAGAAATATCGTAGTATGGTGCTACAGCGCATATTCTATCAGTTGCAGTTCTGGCGCCTCCATCTCAATATACTTTACAACGCCACATGCATTCACATCAGCGTTAACTCAGCGGTAGACTTACTCTCACAGGACACTGTACTTATTCGCTGTCACAAAAGTACATTATTTGCATCTGCTTTAAAGCCTTGCCGGTTAAATGTTTCATTCGCGCGCTGGTCTGACGTGTGCTTTTTCTGAGCATTTATAGCATTTATTTATAGCATTTTAAATAGCATTTATGTTGTTATGTTGATAGGTGTATCATAGCTTCAGTGTCAAATGATAACACTGATAACAAATTGAGATTTATACATGGATCTTTACTTAATATCCTAATGATTTTTGGCATAAAAGAAAAATGGATAATTTTGACCCATACAATGTATTGTTGGCTGTTGCTACATATATACCTGTGCTACTTAAGACTGGTTTTGTGATCCAGGGTCACATATGATAAATTATCTTCATTGCTGTTTAATATTCAGTGAGGAATTAGTTCATAATGAAGACCCAAATTATTGGAAACAGTTCTGAATTGCTATAAATCAAGTCTGGTTTGCATCATTTGGTCAGAAGTGACAGAAATCAATATGTTTTCACTTTCCATCTTAACCTTACCACTACCCTTCCTCCTTCAAGATGCCGCGTCTCTCCCTTGGCTGCTTTAAATAATTTATTACCTTCCATCAAAACCCATCGCAAGCTTTTGAGAAGTGCTTTGGAGGTATTGAAGAGTAAGAGTCCTTCAAAAGTGCATTTCATCACACGTGGTCATCGCACTGACCAGAAGCCGCTAGTGTTTCTCCTTCAGTGTTTCTCTCCAGATGGCTTGGATCTGTTTTTCTAGCCTTGAAGTCTCACACTAGACCGGTTCAAAATGAACACTGTGTGCTTCCCATTGTGAGCAAACACGATTTTGATATCTCAGCCGAATATTAAAAACTCTTACATTTTCTCTCCGGTGTTCGGTAGATGAGATGAAATGTCAGATGAGAACAATTGCTGCAACAAAACAATAACCCAAAAATAAAAGCGACCCATGCGTGTGTCTCACAAGTGCATTCGTGGCTGATATGCCAGTTTTTAGGTGATATTTGTGGCCCAGTGTCTCTGAAGCGTGAGGTCAGAACCAAGCACGCATTCACAGAGCCGTGAGACCAACAGAGAACAACAGCAACACGAGCATCACTGTGGCAACTGCTGAAGACACTGCCAGAGAGACCGAGTCCCGAGAGAGAGAGAGAGAGAGAGAACTCCTTCTATTCCTTCTCCTTCTATTGCAATTCATCCATCTATTGTCTATCTATCCATTGTCTGTCTGTTGTTTATTGTTCCATCCATCCATCCATCCATTCGCCTGTCGTCTATAATTGAACGTATAAATATAAAACTTATTAAAATTATTATGTATTTAATATAAATATCTATCTATCTATCTGTCTATCTATCTATCTGGCCTTAAATGTAAACAATTTAACTGAAGACGTTTTAAGGACCCGCGGAAACCCTAATAATAACATAGTCCAGTGCAAACATTTCTGTATTTGCATTTAGCAAAAAGCTTTTGTTGACTATGAATTTTACCTTTGAAATTTGAGGCAAGTGCAACTCTACATCATAAACTGAAAGCAATCTTTACGTGACTTGTTTTACAAATGTTTTAAAATTGATCATCCGAGTCTAATATGATCCAGCGGGCCGGCCCGCGGGCCGCCAGTTGCCCATCCCTGATCTAGACCCATTCCATTCTCCCAACTTTTCATGAACAGCTTTCTACTTTCTTCTGTTCTTTCTCTCACCTCATTGTAGTTTTAATACCGTATCATAAAGTCTTTAGAGGACAGAAGCATCAGAGGAGAGTTTGAGATGCACATTTCCCCACCGCACTGAACTTTGCTCAGCATTAAGGTGGGGTATTTATAGTTTTCTATATAAAGTTGTATTTTTCCATCGCCTGCTTCGCTGTCACATCGCTGTTGAGTTGTCATGGTCTACTTCTGACAGTATTCTGGGATGCAGAGTGGTTGCTATGCCATCTCTCTCTCTCTCTCTCGCTGTAATGGAGAGCGGGTGAGATCACAGTCTTATCGGCATGCTGTCAGAGGAGTTGGTGTGATTAAATTTCACCGTGGTACAGGTGTCCATTCTACCTTGTCTTATGTCTTTCTGCCTCTGTCGCTCCTGTTCTCTAATCCGCAAACTCCTACACCAAGCATTAGTTTGTAGAGATTTCGCTGTACTGCAGTTGATGTATTTGCACTGATATTAGTGTGCTGGACAGTGTTACATTATTTACATGTCAGAGCGATAAAGAAACATGGTGTAAGGTTTAAATTACAGAGCAGGAAGTGTTCCAAACAAGTCAAGATGAGGAGTTTGGTTGCGTATAAGATCTTGGTGATTGTATCTGCTCTTTAGCTCAGCTTGCATGCATGCTGTTTTGCATATGTATATGCATATGCATGCACATATGGCTGTTGTATTGGTGTGAGCTTGCGTTTAACAGTCTCTTAACTGGCTCAAGTTTGCATCTAAGACAAGCTGGCAGGAGAAAGAGCGCACTAACACCTGTGCAAAACCCTCAAACACATACGTGCAATTAACTAGATTCGCTTTCCTCCTTGTTAAAGCCACACAAAGAGGATTTGCTGTTTCCTTTGCCGTCGTCTTTCAGGTACTGCTCATCGCTAAATGCATTGTTCTCTTTTCTCAGGAGACACAGCTTGTTCTTTCCTCACAGATAAAAGACCAAGATGAGCTCACTTTCATCCATTTAAATGTGCCTTTCTCAGTGTTTGTTAGTGACTCTGATGCACCTCATGCCAGAAAAACATTACAATCTGTCAAGACTTTGAATGATATGCAGAATGTGTAAAATAACTTAATACATAATATATTAATATGTATTTATTACACACATATGTAATGTTAATATTTATCTAGTGTAAAATTCAACAAAATCTAATATTAAGATATATTAATATATTTGATTAAATAATAACATCTATCTATCTGCCTGCCTCTCTTTATCTTGGGTTCTTGAGTTAACTATATAGTTATCTATAGATTGGCATCATTCTTTGGAGGTGTTCAGGACAGTGTTTTAGGTTCTTTAAAGCACCAGTTCATATTTGTGAAACTAACCTTTAAACTTAAAAGCTTTTATAACTATTTGATTCTGTCAGTAATGCTGACATCAGAGTTCAGCTTGACAATCTTTTTGAGTGATCTGTTCCTTTAAAGCCTTGACTGATTGTGCTTTGGTTTTTATTAGCCCTTGACTC